ATGGGACACACATATGAGACAAATGACTTGAGAAATTAAATTTAGCTAAATTTGGCTTCTTATTCGATTTTACTGTTCCACTCTAAATGGTGAAGCAGTTACATTCAAGCAGCTACAAAGACAACATATGAAATGTTGAAACTGAGAAATTTCATTGTTTTTTGAAAAACATATGCCCATTTTGAATTTGACGCCAACTACACTTTCCAAAAAAGTTGGGTTGGGGCGTGTGTAACCGTGGTTTTCATCACCGCTTCTTTTAACAACACTTTGTAAGTGTTTGGGAACTGAGGAGACACTGCTGTAGTTTCGAGAGTGAAATGCTTTCTCGGCATTGTTTTATATAGTATTTCAGCTGATCAACAGTTCAGGGTCTCCTTTGATGTATTTTTCATTTCATAATGCACCAAATGTTTTCAGTGGTGACAGATCTGGACTGCAGACAAGCCAGTTAAGTGCATTTCTCTTAATACGGAGCCATGCTGTTGTAATATGTGAGAAATGTGGTTTGACACTGTCTTGCTGAAATAATCAAGGCCATCCCTAAAAAAGACGTGGTCTGGATGGCATGTATATATCGTTCAGCATTAATGGCGCCTTCACAGATGTGCAGGTCACCCATGCCATGTGTACTAATGCCCCCTATACCATCATGAATACTGGCTTTTGAACTGTGCACTGATAACAAGCTGAATGGTCTTTATCCCAGAGGTCACAGAGTCCATGATTGCCAAAAAGTATTTCAAATGTTGATTTGTCAGACCACAGGACACTTTTCCACTTCCCCTCAGTCCATTTCATATGTGCTTGGGTGCAGAGAAGGTGGCAGCGTTGGATCCAGTTTATACTTGCTTTCTTCTTTGCGTTTAAGAGTTTTAACTTGCATTTGTGGATGCAGTGATGAACTGTTTTCACAGACAGTGGTGTTCAGAAGTGTTTCTGAGCTCATACAGTGATTTCCACTACAGAATCATGTCTGTTTTTAATGCAGTGCCACCTGAGAGCCCAAAGATCACGGCCAACGAATACTGTTTTTTGGCCTTTACCTTGTATACAGAGATTTCTACAGATTCTCTGAATCTTTTAATGTTATTATGTTTTTATTATGTACCGTAGATGATGAAAAGCAAAAGTTCTTTACTATTTTATGTTGAGAAACGTTCTTCTTGAGTTGTTGCACTATTTAATTGTGCAGTCTTTCACAGAGTGGTGAACCCCTCCCCATCTTTACTTCTGAAAGACTCCGCCTCTCTGAGAAGCTCTTTTTATACCCAATCATGTTACTGACCTGTTGCTAATTAACCACCAGGTGTTTAACAGCCTTTTGTTGCTCCCGTCCCAACTTTTTTGGAAAGTGTTGTTGGCATCAAATTCAAAACGGGCATATATTTTTCAATAAACAATACAATTTCTCGTTTCAACATTTCATTTGCTGTCTTTGTACTATTTTGAATGAAATATAGAGTTTTAATTATTTGCACATCATTGCATTTTGTTTTCATGTACATTTTTCACAGCATCCCAACGTTTTTGGAAATGGGGTTGTATATCTACATATAGTGAAACCATCTGAAATCATAATTTTAGCGTGATGTATATTTTGGCCATACTACTCACTACCAGCCAATAATAAGGTGTCATAAATTCATTGGTAACAGCAAAAGTTCTGCTAATAAAGCAAAGTTTAATGTTTAGCACTCCTGCTTCAGATCTGAAATCCGCGTGTTTCTGCCCATCCTCCCATTGTTAAAAAAACTGCGCTATGGGTCTGAAAGGATATGCAGCCGTCAAGAAGCCTCCCAAGAAGAATGGAAGCTGAAGGCAAAGCTGAAGGTAAAATGTGGACAAAATAAATGCAGACAATTTTAAGTATTCAAATATGTCCACTGAAAATGAAAACGCTGTTTTGACTGGAAATTAATAAATGAAGTGTGACTTTCATATAGTACTTTATTTGTGTAATGCATGCTGTGTACTGCAGTAACTGGACAAACGTACAGAGGCACTGATGGACAACAATACAGAAACAATACACAATTGAGACTGAGGTATTTGTACGTCTACATTCGGTATCGGTCACAAAATCTTCATATTGGTAAAACTCTGGTACATCAGGCTCCCAGAAGCACTGATTGGTCTATCCTAGTTTCTTTCCTTATGACTTTACACTCATAAAAAACAAGTTTCTGTTTCAGTATGATAGACTAAATGAGCCTATGAGAGAAAAAAAATATTTTACTCAGATAAAACAGAGAGAATCACAAGCCAAGATCACTTTATTTGTGCATGTTGGGTGTATTTAGACGTGTATGCTGGGTTTAGCTGTGTACGTTTCAGTCTCTGCTGAATTATTAGGTATCAGCCACAGGCGATACATAGAACGACGCAAGCGAGATCTGACCCTGGGGTGCTCGCTCACTGTGAAATGGTAATCCAGTGGATAATGTGTGCCGTGTAAGAGCATGTGAATTTAAACGAACTAACATGCGAAGATAAAGCAAGTGAGTGATTGAGGGCCAAGGGCGAATTTATGAATGTGCATGTAGATGTTTGGAATGTATATAGACTGCCAGTTAAAAGTTTAAGAATTAATTAAAGTTGTTTTTTAAAGTTGTCATTTTTATAAACAAGCACACTGTGAAATTATTCATCTCAAGTTCATTAGGCGTTCTTACCTTGTAGCTACACCCACTCAAGTTGGAACACAATTTTGTTTTCAAGTGAAAATAAGTTAAAACATCCTCTACAGGGAAATATGGCATTTTCTGCAGACTGTACAGTATAACATCTGTTTATCTGAGTTTAACATAAAGGCCTGTAGCATGCCATGTGCTACCCCAGGTGGAAGAGGGAAGGCAGGGTTGAGGGTTGTAGCAGCCATATCTTTATTTTTCACACACAAAACACAAAGAAACTCACCCTAAATCAAAATTGGCCACCTCTTCGTGGTTACTACTCTTCTTAAAATTAAAAACGTTGTTGTTTAGTTCTTCAGTCTGTTGTTGCTGCTGCTCGTCCCCGTCCTCCCTCTTTGCTCCCTCTCTGCTCTTTTTAAAGGCGCTCACGCTGCCGATGCCAGCTCAGCATCAGCTCTCATTAAGGGCATTGTAAGCTCCAAAGCTGAGAGGAACAGAGCTTGTTGCTCTGCCTCCCCGCCGCCGTCCACGCTCCATAGCTTGGCTGCCGGGATCGAACATGAAGCATAGTCAAGTGGCCTCACTGCGGAACAGGAGGCAGGGCCCAAGAGGCGGATTTCGGAACTCGTGCGCCATCTTCATGCCTCTCTTGGCCGTCATCGTTCTCCCGCCCTCTCTTGCAGCTGATGTTCTCCGGCTGTCACTTGCGGCTGACGTTGCCGTGTGAGGCTCAGGATCCACCTTCCCGCCCTCTTTCGCAGCCATCTTCAGGGTGGTACCCGTGTGTGGGACGACTGACACCCCCCCCCAACATCTAATTTAGGCCAGGACCTAGGCTAAGACAGAGCCCGTGGGGATGTCAGGTGCCCCCTTCCTCTGAAGGGCAAGGACAGGAAGGGAAGCACAAGCCTCTGGCTGAAGCTCTGGAGGCACATCCCCTCGCTGTCGAAGGGCAGGGACAGGAGGGTATAGGGTGAGTGCCAGGGCCACCGGAACCACGGTGGCAACCACTTTTCACAGTACTGTGATGACGCCCCACTGCTTTTGAGTTCAGGACACGCACATAAAAACCTGCTTTCTCTAAACTGAACAGAGTAAAACTCGGCAGCAGAGCCAATCAGAATCTCACTTTCAGCTGGGAGGCACTTTCAGACCCGCCTCGGATGGTGGAACCTGTCAGACTTTTGCATTAGTTCAGTTTTGTCATGCGAAACTCCACCCACATTCAGTCAGCACCAAACAAGTGAACCGTGCTTAATTCATGAGGGAATTCGACACCAGATCATGTTTTTTTTGCCCTTTTTTGGTTTTGAAACAATATGTTGTGTGGTGTGGCACCACCCCTGGTGACAGCTCCGTTCCTTCTCCTGAACTGAAAGGGAGAGATCCGGTCCTTCTGAGAGCAGGGAGTGGAGAAATTAGTAGGGATGAGAGAGGAGCTCCTGCCAATGCACGCCGAGAGGTGCTGCATCACCAGCAGGCTCCTGATCATCTGACGGTTTGCCACCTGCTGCTTTTCAAGCTGTTTCTATTGCTTTTCAGCCTCCTGAAAAGCAGCCTGTAGCTCCTGCTAGTCAGCCAGGTGCAGGTGGATGAGGGTCTTGATGGCTTCTTCCTCCGGTGTCAAAGACTCCTTTGGAAGTGTTCCTAAGCCCATGCTGTGATTTCCAGTAAAGAATCAAGCCTGTTTTCAATGCAGTGCTGCCTGAGGGCCCAAAGATCATGAGCATCCAATACTGACCGTCACCCTTGTCCCTTCCATACAGGGATTTCTCCAGATTCTCTGAATCTTTGGATGATTTTATATACTGTAGATGGTGGGATATTCAAAATCTTCTCAATTTTACGTTGAGGAACATTTTTCTGAAATTGTTCCACAATGTTTAGATGCAGTTTTTCACAGATCGCTGAACCTCTGCTCATCTTTGCCTCTGAGAGATTCTGCCTCTCTAAAATGCTCTTTTTATACCCAGTCATGTGAGTTAGTTGCAAATCGCTCCTCCAGCTGTTTTTTTAGTACCACTTACTTTTTCAGCCTCAGTATATAGAGGTTTCAGAACAACATTTGTCCAACTTTTTTGAGACGCGCTGCTGCCATCAAGTTCTAAATGAGTTAATGTTTTTCATTAAATGGTAAAATGTCTCACTTTCAGCACCTGATATGTGTTCTATGTTCTGTTATGAATAAATGCATCTATGAGATTTCTAAATCATTGCATTCTGTTTTTATTTATATTTATTTACATTTTATGCAGCGTCCCAACTTTTCTGGAATTACTGTGTGTATATATATATATATATATATATACACACACACACACACACACACACGTTTGTATGTGTATGTATGTGTATTTGTGTTACCTTCTGCTGACAGAAAGCCTGGACTTTTTGTGTGACGTTGGGCTGCTCTGGGCTGAAGAGGTCAGCGTGGTTGGCCAGTGTTACATCTTCAATCAGAAACTGCCTGACTGTCTGCAGAGGAATTTTCTGCAGGTTCATTTTTCTCCCCTTCACTCGCAGCAAGCCGATGTGTCTGAAAATGAAGAAGGAATACATACACAGTTTTGTTTTTAATACAATGTTAAGACATGAAGATATATTTATATTGTGTATGACATGTTGATATTTTGTGCTATTATATTTTATTTCTGCAAACTGACCTTCAATATCAATTTATTGAAACTGATAATGCAGCACCTACTGTTTAGAAACGATGTGGACGAGCAAGTACAAACGCTACAACTAACCCCATAGGTGGAGTTAACTGTGACAGACTGAGGAGCTAGCTGTAATATCTGAAAAGTTTGGTAAATTGATGCAAACACAATTTATTCACTATACATTCATGCTGCTTGAACGAGGTGACCCTTCCAATTAAAAAAAAATAAAAATAAAAATGAAAAAAAAAACATTTGTCAAAAAAGACATGATTAGTGAAAGTTAATGTATCAAATGTGGCAAATTTATTATTGACTACACTATACAAGAATCGATCAATAGAAATGTCCCACAGTGAATATGAATCAAATCTTGTTACATTAATTTACTTAAGATACGATGTTTTGTATCTTAAGTAACATATGTAAGTGCCTGTATGTAAAAATATTATATCTATGAATATACCTTCAAGTACCTATACTTAGTAATACTATTGATAATAATAACTATGTCTCATAATTATTATGCATATACACAATTATCTTAATTAAGGTATTGTCTATGATTAACTTGATATCCGGCCTTAGTCTTAAATTGGGGAACCCAAACTATTTTTTTTGCTTTCTCAGTTTGAAACATGAAACTTATTTAAAAAGTACTCTGCCATTTTTGTTCTAAAAAACGCATGAAAACACACACACACACACAGACACACACACACACACACACACACACACACACACACACACACACACACACAGCTTTCACAGGCTGTCAGAAATTCATTTTCCAAATGATTCATTTTGAGAACAATGACATTCTGTGCAATCTGTGAGCCTTCTCCCTTCTACACCAATAAACAGCCAAAATCTCCCTTATAAAATTCCTTTAAAACAGGTCCGTTCTGTTCTGGCTTTGTCACACGGAGCGTTTTTGAAGTGCATTTCTACCTACAGCTATGCAAATTACAATTCTGCTCTTTCTATGTGATCAGCCTATATCTGGTTATTATGTAAGCAGCTATAGTTCTCTTAATTATTACCTTACATAGCTTAAAGCAACAAGCAAGGGTGCTCGTTTTATGACTTTTTCCCCTCATTTTTTCCTCTTTGTGATATATATGGTGTTCTATTATTTTCATTTATTTTGCTATTATATTTCATTTAAATCCTAACATCCTCTTTCCTTTAAGTAGAACTCACATGTTCTCCTAAGTTCATGTTGTCATCATGTCCTCAGTGACATAACTACACGAAAAGAGGTTTTCCAAGAATTTCTTCACTTCAGTGAATCACGGTAAGAATAGACAGCACTGAAAATGATATATGAAGCATTAAAACACTTACAGTCTACTCCACCAGTCTACTCCACCAGTCTACTCCACCACTGCACTTGACAGTAAATCACCAGCCAGGCAACTTAAGACCCACTGCTGCTATTTTAAATTCTAAAAATGGAGACAGATGCGTTAGAAGTAGGTCAGGCACCTTTGGTCAGTCTCTAAAGGAATCAGTGATGTAAATGAGCCCCAGTGCTCGACAGTTAAATCAACAGTTCGACGAAATATTGAATTTGCACATTTTTCCATCTCCAAATGTAGTCGATTGGCCAAGACATGTACACAATCTGTCTGACTGTGGATTGGTGGAGTCCAAACTCTTTAGAGATGGTTTTGTAACCTTTTCCAGCCTGATGACCATCAACAACTTCTTCTGAGGTCCTCAGAAATCTCCTTTATTCGTGCCCCGATACCATCCCACAAACGAGTTGTGGAGCTCAGACTGTGAGAGATCCCTGTTCTTTAAATGAAACAGGGTGGTCACTCACACTTGATTGCCATCACATTGATTGAAAACACCTGACCAAGACATTTTGGTGTTCAAAGTTTGCTCCTTTAGTTTTGAGAAGGAGCTACAATGCTAATGTAGCTAACAATTAAAGGAAGCTTATAGTCACCAAGTAGCAACGGCCTAAATCATCACTGATTTGCCTCAGACACGTCCAGATACAGTCAGGTGCAAAAGTTTGAACACTCCCGAGTCAAATTACATGATTTGTTGTTTTCCTAAGTGAAAATACTTGAAACACACCAAAGGCTGGTATTAGTGAGACATTAAATATTTGCTACAGAGTTTAAATAGTTCTTAAAAAGTCAGATCACAGTGTATTGAGACATGTCAAAGATTTACAGTGCAACACACACAGACTGGCTGGACCAATGGACCAATGGGCAAAAGGAATGCTATTATGGCCAGTTGAACGAATGAACAGTCTTACATGGGTGATTAGGTGAATGAATGGAACTCTGCTATGACCGACTGGACGAAAGAATGAACAGATGGGAGACAGCGAGACAGACACCTGGATTCCATTTTCGTCTTGCCTCAAACGCCATCAATCAGCCAAGACATGTTTGGTGTGCAAGCTCTGCTTCTTTAGCTTACAGTGGTGCTTGAAAGTTTGTGAACCCTTTAGAACTTTCTATATTTCTGCATAAATTTACCTAAAACTTCATCAGATTTCCTAATAGTAGATAAAGAGAACCAAATTATACAAATGAGACAAAAATATTATACTTGATCATTTATTTATTGAGGAAAATGATACAATATTACAGAGTGGCAAAAGTATGTGAACCTTTGATTTCAGTATCTGGTTTGACCCTCTTGTGCAGCAATAACTGCAACGAAACGTTTCTGGTAACTGTTGATTAGTCCTGCACATCAGCTTGGTGGGATTTTAGCCCATTCCTCCGTACAAAACAGCTTCAACTCTGTTATGTTGGTGGGTTTCCTCCCATGAACTGCTGCTTCAGGTCCCTCCACAACATTTTTTTATTGGATTAAGGTCAGGACTTCGACTTGGCCATTCCAAAATACTAACCTTATTCTTCTTTAACCACTCTTTTGTAGAACGACTCGTGTACTTAGGGTCGTTGTCTTTCTGCATTACCTACTTTTTCTTGAATTTCAGCTCAAGAGAACCATTTACTACCAGGAGAACCACGATACTACCACCACCATGTTTCACAGATGGGGTAAGGTTTTTATGCTGGAATGCAGTGCTATCCTTTCTCCACACGCTTCTCATTTAAACCAAAAAGATCTATAATCTCGTGAACTATTACATGTCTTGCTCTTGGTGTGATATTTGTGGGATAATCCCCCTCCTGTACACAATCTGTCTGACTGTGGATTGGTGGAGTCCAAACTCTTTAGAGATGGTTTTGTAACCTTTTCCAGCCTGATGACCATCAACAACTTCTTCTGAGGTCCTCAGAAATCTCCTTTATTCGTGCACTGATGCCACCCCACAAACGAGTTGTGGAGCTCAGACTGTGAGAGATCCCTGTTCTTTAAATAAAACAGGCTGGTCACTCACACTTGATTGCCATCACATTGATTGAAAACACCTGACTCTTATTTCACCTTCGTATTATCTATAACTATATTCTAAAGGGTTCACAAACTTTCAAGCACCACTGTAGAACTAGAGCCGCTACTTACTGGTGAGTTCGGCATGTGAGGCGACTTCTGCATTTCTTCTTAAGTATATTCAGGTTGAAAAAGATACATTTGAGGCTCATTTTTGCTGAAAATGCAGTCCTCAAACTCATAACCTGAGACTGTACTGAATTGAGTACTCTCGCTTAGCCTCTCTACCTCCGTTACCCTACAGTGTGTCTGTGTTGTGAATTTGCTCAGCCCCATCTTTAGTCATCTAACATGGAATGATACCAAATTGTGCTCAGGTAATCATAAATGGCTATATAAAAAGGTAATTTTGATGTTTATACTTTATAGTGAGTCATGCAGTTTTCTAAACCACATCAACTGAATTAACCCTCCTATTATTTTCGATGAGACCTGCACTGTGCAGACGCAGGTATTCCCACAGAGTCAAGCTGGGTGAGGTTGTCATTTCTTCCTCCAGTTCTAACTGGTAGGCCATTAGCAAAGATGATGCTTTGAGGGCCCTTACAGATATGACCACTGCCTTTGCAGCCTTTTCGCCTTTGGCAGCCGCTTCCGTTCACATTGCGACGTGGTGGCCACGGGATGCCGAGCTTTAAAACTGCTCTCTTACAGATATCGTGCAGGTCCATACTGGCGGTTGGGTGAGGAAGGGAGCTAGCTGGGAAGCTGAGAGTCCAGCCTTAGAAGAGTGACTGCTCCCACCATGGCATCTTTAACCCTGCATCTCAGGCTCTTAAGGGAAAAACAAGCACAGTGGATGCTAACTTGGCCTGGACACGCTGCAGCCCTAGACATGAAGCACAAACCAATTAGGGTGTCTCAATGCTTGAGATCTTATTCGCACAGATGCATGTTGTGGCTGGGGCATCGCACTTCTCTATGGTGAGGGAGAGATTCTTCACTTCTTTCGAAGCACAGAGTAGTATGGTAGCTAGCTGGTGGAGGCTACTGTTTGGAGACAAGTTAGCCAATACTTCTCCAAATGGATGTGGTGACGACTGAACAGGCAGTATTCGGTGACCGAGTGGTTACTTTGCTCTAGGAACAGTTCAGCTAGACTGTTAGCCACGTTCACAGTTTCAGAGGATAGTCTGCATCTTAGAGCCTTTCAGCTGTAGTTTAAAATTAAAGAACTATATTTCGGAAATCAAACGTGGCTTGAAGAAGTTAATTTCGCATTCAGTTTCTTTTCATAGATGGCGTTTTTGTAAGACGTTTGTCATCACTGAAGCTGAACCACTTTTCTTGCTGGAAGAAAAAGTGTGATAATTAATGAGCTGAGTGAAGTTGAACTGTAACACAAACAGACATATCATAATCTGTAAATGGAGTTAAAAAAAAAGCAGGTAAAATGGTTCAGAGAGAATTCAATGTGGAAATTGTTTCTGCTATTTACACCCACACTCATGTGTGTTACTCTGAAAACAGAAGCAAATCATTTGTATTTTAATGTGTATTATCAAAATTACTGCAGCAAAGGATTTTAATGAGACCAGTTTTGATGAATAGTGTGCTACTGTTGCTGTGCTGGTCAAGTGGACTTCAGGCAACATTTATTCACCTGGTTGATTATCTGGAATACAAATGACTTCTAATGCAGCCTCGATTCTTTTGTAAGGCTCAACTGGATATCTCTGTTCGCTGACTACTGGCACAAAGGCCAGAATGGAATGCCATACAGCCTTACAGGTCAACGTAACATATGCAATATGTTTTGTTCATATTCATGTAAATGTCACTGATTGAATGACTGCATTTGTTTGTGGCCCTTTCTATAATTTCTATAATTTATTTGATTTTCTGTACAAAAAAACAGCCATTAATCACCTGTACATGATCACCTTCTAACCTCTCCTTATCCTTTTTTGTAAAATAAGCTGTTTTTGATGCTTTAAGACTGATATTGACACAAAAAGCACACTGTTTTGTGACTTTAAGCCATATGCAAATGACCTCTATTCTGACTGCATGAGATGTTCAGTAAAAACTGTTAAGTTCACACTTAAATCCTTTTGGAAAAAATAAACTTCCTCCACTCCTCAAATGTGTGGATCCTTTAGAAGTGTGTACCCATCAATTTGCTTCCAGACAGCCAGGGACACCACAACATTTAATCATTTTGCAACACATTTTCCATGTCAGTGGCAGATCTAGAAAGCTTTACCAGGGTTGACAGGTTCAAGTGCAGATTTATATAGTAAACTATTACAACATCAGCATACTAAAGTCATGTGGGTTACTCTGAAACCTGCATGTATAGTTTATCTGTTCTGATTAACTGTGTTTGGAAAATAACAGCTTTGTTCTGTCCAGAGGCCTTAACAGAAATACATTTTTTGGGTAGGCCTGTGAAAAAGTGGCCACCTATGAGGGTAGGGGAGGGGTAGTCACACTGTCAATGTCATAGAATCAGAATACAGCCCATAAGCAGTGCAGTCATCATTGTACCTATTCTACCGCTGTGCCAATGTAGCTACATAAGCCCACTCAACACTGCAACATCTTTCACTACAAAGCATGCATCCTCTCCACAACCACAACCATTCTGATATTTCCTCTTATACTTTGTAGTCAAAAATAAACTTGCCACATTTGACACAGCCTTTTTTCACTAATTATATTTCTTTATTTAATGCATTTAGGTTGGAGACCATTTATATCTTACCTTTGATGACTTTATCCACAGAAGCAGACATCTTATTATTTTAGATTTTGTAGTAAAAGAGCACAAAATTCACAGAGCAAAGGTGCAGCAACTTTCTTAACACAGGCTGCCTTTTTCAGCTTTTGTTTTGCATTTTTTTTATCTTTGTAAATGGGTAGAAAGTACTCACAGTTTTTTTGGGTTTTTTTTTACATGTTTAGCCTCCTCAAATAAACAACATCCCCTGTATAAATTCAAAACAGTTCATTTTTTATGCATACATTCATCCAAAATGTACTACAGATGTAAATAAACTATATTTAAATTTTACCATTCTTATATTTCCTCTTATACTTTGTAGTATAAATAAACTTGCCACATTTGACACAGACTTTTTTCACTAATTATATTTCTTTATTGAATGCATTTAGGTTGGAAAATAAATGCATTTAGTTTGGAAAAGCTCAACATAGAATTGCACTGAATTAACTGTGTTCGCATTGATTTACCAGACTTTTTAGCGACTGTCACAACAAGCCTTTCCAATGGGGAACAATGTGGTGTTGTTACATTTGCAACTGCGCCACTTTTGGCTGAACTGAAGAGATGAACAATAGGTGAGAAAAAAAAGCTTATGTTTTTATTTGTAGGTTGCTTTTGCCTGTGGGAGATATGGGCAAAAAGTTATATCACTCTAAAATACACATTTCTGTTTCAGTATATTTTATAGTAAAAGTATTTTTTAAAAAAAATCTTTTTAGATGCTTAAGTAAACCTATTTTGTAGGTCAACAGTGCCTTTGTTATTATTTATTATTCTGGGATTTTCTTTCACTATTGAAACAAGAATAATTTTTAATAACCAACATTGTAAACCTGAAATATTTTTATTGCGCAAAACAGTAAAAACAAAACTGAACTGCTAATTATTGTTTCACACCTTAGGCTGAAGTTGGCTACTTATCTGGCATCTCTTTGTTTAAACTTTCTGTCCCAACCCGAATGGCAGTGCATATATACTGGCATCTGTACATGGGCCAGAATATAAATGTCGCACCTTTTTTTTTTTTTTTTTTTATTTATTTATTTATTTTTTTAAATAAGAAGCCAATATAAGAATTTCTCAAGCCATTTGTCTCATATATGCTTCCCATACAGTCCAGCCTCTGAATGCCAGACACTGCTGGGATTTGGAAACTACTGCAGTCATTCAAGCTTCAATACTAGCTGGTCGACGGCTTGATGACAGCAACGTCATCTGATACAGCTGACTGAGTCAGGAAGCTTCTCAGGTGGAGGTGATCAAGGTGCATTTGTGTTTTCATTTGAAATAAGACTGAAACATTCCTGACTCGGGTATTCAGCTAAGTGGCTAACATTAGCATGGTTTGCACTGTTTGTACATCACGTCATCTACGCTCATTTTAGGAATACCGGTATAATCACTAGGACAAAACTCAAACCTCAGGAAACAGATATATAGCATATAGGTTGTATAAAAATACTAATCTTGCTGATACACTTGAGAAAAAATAATGTGTGGAAATGTGAGCCTACTTTTTGACAGCTTCTCCCGGAGACAGTGAAGTGACCACAGAGCTGCCAGGTTGTGTGACGTAGAAGAGCTGCTGCTCATTTCGGGCTGGAGTTATTTTACACTCGTGCTCATGACCCCAAATAACCAGGTCCAGGAAATCATCCAGAAACTGCTCAGGGATGTAGTTAGTGGCACCGTGCTTACTCCTACACACAAAAACACAGAGGCACTTAAGTTAGACATGCATACAGAAGTACTTTAATTAACTGTAAAACAGGTCCCTGGTTTATCTCTGTAGTCCAGCTGCTTACAAAACGTATTCAGGGTTAAATCAAAAACTTAAATTAAAAAAACTGACAAGTTTAGACAAAACATGGGATTCGAAGAGGTCACTACTATCTCTAATCAATAGAGTAAATAAACCCATTCCTTATCATTGGATTTAGCTATGCAATGTATTTCTGCCCATAAGATAACAGATACAGTCACTAACCACATATGCAAGTGTATGTGAGACACTTAAAGAGGAATTACATTCTAAAACCAAATGAAATGTACTGCTCTATAATAATGAATGACATCAGTCTTGTTCGAAATTTTTTAACTGTTTTCACATCATTATGGAGGTCAGTCCCACCTCTGCTTTTTCCCCAAACTATTGGTTTCACACTGGGATCTGTATAGGTCCTTTCCTCACTGGCATAAACATGTAACTTCTCTATTAGTTTCATATTAATTACTAAAAAAGTTCTAGTAGTTACTAAATAATAAGTCTAATAACTAAGATAACTGAAAAATGTGCCTACACTCTTAAAAAAGTAAAGAATAGTAAAGAATACCATGAACGCCCAAAGACCCCTTTGCATGATTAAAGGGTTCTTTACAACATGATTGGTTTCTTCAGAATGATGGAAAATGCATGAATGTGCTGCAGATGGTTCCAAATAGAACCTTGTTGAAAATGGTTCTATTCAGCACACGAAAGGGTTTTTCTACTGTTACAAGCTTAACACCGTAACAACAGAAGAATCCTTTTGGGTGCTTTATAGAATCATTTTCAAAAAGGTTCTATACAGAACCGTCTGGAACACATTCTCCATTAGGTGTGGGATAAAATATCGATACAGAGATATATCGTATCGCATTTTTTTGCGATAAATTATCGATACACTGGTGCTTTATGTATTGGAACATGAACGCGTCGTAAACGCTCTAAACAGACTCCCCCTACAATTTGATTTGCCAGATTCACTACTTCATGACTCCACATGGTGGCGCTAATCAAAGGTGCTAATCAAACAAAAACGGTAAACCTGCAGTGAAGAAAAAGAAACTCACATGGGAGAAATGGCGAAGAATGGGGGGGAAACAAATCAGACAGGTACCATCCTCTTTACAGTCAAAGGTCTCGGCCCACTTCGGCTTTTACAGCATTGAACAGACAAACGAAACAGACAAAGACTCGCGATTTGCAAGAACCGTCTCATTAAAATAAAGGACATGGGCAACACAACGAACATGCATAGCCACTAGGGGTGGGAATCTTTAGGCACCTCATGATTCGATTATGATTCAGAGGCTGCGATGCGATTATAAAACGATTATCAATGCATCTTTTTTTCTATACATGATTTCTATTTTCTTACTGTCTGAGGACTTCGTAGTTTTAAAACAAAGTATTTGTAATGATCCATAATGCATTTACGTCCAATATCTTTTATTAATAAATCAAATGGAAGTGATGTGGCAAGTGAACTGGAAGGCTCTCATTCAGTGCTCTTGTTTGGAGAACGAGAAGCTGCTGCCACTCATCTGTGATAAAATGCGCAGTTATGGTGAAATAAGATCCAGTGGTGATGGATGACCACGCAGCACGTTATATATTCTTTAGGGATTTCATAACTTTGGTTTTGGTTTCGTGATGGAGGCGGGGGGGAGCCTGAAAGACTGCAGGTCACGTAGCAACGAGGTTTCGCCGAGCTAAGAGAGAACAAAAAAGGAAAAGAGAAAGACAGACGGACATTTGGAGATGAACGGACTTATTCACATTTATAAGCAGCGCAGTTGGTTTCCTGGTACGTTAAATCTGCAACGAGAGCCTGTCAAACACTAAAAAGTTGCTTCTCTTTCTAATTTTCCCGTTCCACCTTAAATAGTGCCGCAATTACATTTGGCGTCTCAATCAGAATTTAAGGTGGAACGGGAAAGTTCAACAAGAAGCTGGAGAATAAGAAGCGACTTCAGCCTTTTTACAAGAAACTATTCTACTTTTGAGGAAAAGTTTTCTGGCGGAGATGGGAGAAAAGCAGCTATAGCTAAAGCTTAAAGCAGAGCGAAGTAAATCTGCGCTCTCGTTTATATTGTTTAGTCTATACTAGGACATCATCACATACTGACACATACTGGACATTAAATGTTGTGGCTCCCAAGGTGGTTTGATTTTGTTGAAAGGTCAAAATGGCTCTTCTTATCATTTGTGTTGTGACTCCTGACCCAACCTGGCTTTAATGCAGAGGGAGCCGGTCGGATTTCTCACTCATCCAGTGGTGTTTTTGTTATGTGCCGCCACAGACTGTCCGGGCGCTGCACTTACCCACTTCCAAGTTCCGCCCTTTGCGCTCCGTCAACATTACGTTTTAAATTAAATATTTAGAAAATCGATTTTTGACATTTGTGAATCGATTCAGAATCGTCCACGTCGCGATGCATCTAAGAATCGATTTTTTCCCGCACCCCTAATAGCCACCTTTGTCATCATCATGATATGGCTGTTGAGAAAACAGCTAACGTTGCCACAACTCAAATCAGCCAATTAATTAACAAAATTAATACAGTTTTTAAAGCAAAACTTCCTTTTAACAACTTCTGAACTGCTTTCTTTTACGTCCCTTGAGAGCAAAATGTGTATTTTTGCATGAATATATACTTTGTTTATAAATGTATTTTTGTTTTTTTCCTGTAAGTTTACAGTTAGAAAAGATTTTAGTGAGGCACAGTTGTGTTCTACCTTTAGCCATTTTAACCCCAGGACTGTTCTGCTTTCTGGCAGTTTATGGCTATTTTACATTGGATTGATGACACATGCAGTCAGTGTATGTGTGTTAAAGAGGCATGAAGCTAAGCCGTGCGCTTTGTTGTACACTGTTTCATATTGGTTGCCAAATTCTGTGAAACTGACACTAATAAATACATAATTCCTGCTATTTGCCAATTTAGAAGTTACACGGATATCATGATGCATCCTAGATGATTGTCTTGCAATATATCGAGCATCACAGAATCGCAGAATTCTCCATCAGTCTTAAAAATCTTTCATGATCCAAAGAACTTTTTCATCATGCAAAGGGGTTTCTGAGTGTTCGTGGTTCTATATATAGAACCATTTACTTCACTAAAGAACACTTGAAGCATCATCTTTAAGAGTGCAGGATTCAAGGGGATTCACGGGGATGTAAAACTGTCTCACGTTCACTGTGAATAGAGTTAAAGTGTTTGTATAATGTACTCCAGATTGCTTTACTACGCCAGTGGCAAGAGAACACGGCTAGAGAACAAGTCAAGAGGTTTTGTTCCAGCGGAAAACATCCTGTTATGCACATTATGCCTCTGCACTCAGGCACTTAACCTTCCTATGCTCTGGAGCAGGGGGCTGCACTTTTAACCGGTCAACAAATAAGGGGTTGTGCTCACTCAATAATTCAAAATGCTATTTAAAACTGCCTGAGGCTGCTACTATTAATCCCTGGGTCTGCAGGCATGGCTGGACTCTAAAGGTGTACATAATTGAACACACAATTCCACTGGTCACAATTCAAAAGCGCAAGTGAAACCAAACCCAGTGAACATAGAGGAGAATAGGGCTGACCAGGCATGGCAGTATGAGGATATAATATGGGTGTACCATGCGTTGTTCCATACCCAAGCACCATTGCTCCCGCTCCCCACTATAGGCTGGCATGTGCTCACACTGCACTTAATGTTACACTAAAGCACAGCACAGTGTGGTTCATGATTGTACTTAGTTTATGGCTTTCTGGGAGTCATTTTGGGCACGTTAATAAGCAGCCCTCTCGCGTCTTATACATTTATCAATTATGCCACGCAGTGATTTTCTGTTAATCGTGCGGCGCATATAAGCAGATTTCCACTCAGCTGATGTTGAGGGAGGAATTTGTAGCTTTACTTGCCAACTTCAATTCATGTTCTTCAATAAGGTGAGAACCAGACCTGTTACTACCCCAAATATTTTCAAGTGAATTGAAAAGTGGGACAGTTGCATCACTGACGGCATATTTGAGTTCGGTATTTGGGCATGGTTAGAGATCACACGAGATGCATACTGTGCCCACGACCAACTTAACCAGGGAACCATGCAGGAGCTGTTTCAGCCCTAAAGTCCAGTTCGTTTGACGAGTGCAGGTGTCGGCAAGCCACATGTGGCTCTTTTACTGCCCTGTTGCGGCTCCACAGCAGAATTCAGTTTTTAGGTAAAAATATAATAATCCTTCTTTGCAGTAAAATAAAGCTCTGCTGATCGTTTTAACAAACAGTCGTGAGTTAATGTATAACTGCTAATTCATCCTTTAACCCTGAAGGTTGGCGCACAAACTGCTGGTCACAGCAAAGCAGACAACAATCTCGCCTAGCTAGTAGCGAACGAAATGGCAAAGAGAAAGATTTCAAATGAACATGGAAAATGAATTTGGACACGAATGGCATTTTTAAACACTCAAGCTGGTAAAACTGTGGCGTGCAGGTGAGGTTTGCACAGCGTTGTACAGCAAAAGTGATGAACAGACAAACAGAAAAGACACACTGTGTTATTAATGCAATCGCCACACTTTTACACAGCCAGGGAGAAATATCACTGGAGTGCTGCAGCTCCCTGCTTAATTACTGCCAAGCACACAGACAAAAACACAAATCTGCATCCAACTCTAATACAGAGGAGCTGCAGACTTCTTGATGTAGCTTTGAACCCCCTCAGTAATCCCTCTATACTCTGTTTCCAGTCACTGCAGGGAAATCCTGCTTCCGTTCAAACAGCAGCTGAATTAACTTTGGCTGTGCCTTCCTTGTGCGCAACACATCTTATGTTCTCGCTGATAAGATCTTGGAGTTTGGATCAGGTATCTGACTGAACGAGGTGGGTAAACCTGTAAATAATCCGTTAAACAGAAGAATAATAGTCGTGTAAACGGCTGTATCTGATTACATTCTTAATCGGAAAGTTTAACTATGTTCTGGGCGTCATACCGAAAGTTTAACGTTCATTGCAGGAGTCTGCAGAGGAAACGGTGGGATGGGTGTCCATCTTATGTTTGTCAGAACGTGACGTCTTCCTCTCGTCCTTCTTTAATAGGTATATGTGAAGTGCGTTTTCCTGAGTCTGACATCATTTTAAAGCACTTAAAAAAAACACAATTCTCACTCTGACTGGACTCACGTGACACTCGTTGTCATGGTAACGTTTACCCTAAATGGTACTCCACACATGCGTGCAATTTTGGATTAGATTACTTGTAATGTGCATGTAAACAGAGACTTTCCAGACTGTTGAGTAGAGTGAGAATAAACACCTCAGTCTTCATCTATAATCGGAATTTATTCCATCAGTTTGGCAAAAATCTTTGCATGTAAACGCAGCCAGTGTTACCAGCACAGAGGGCACTACTGTTAGACTGGAACGATAACACTCACCCATCTGTCCAAATTGCGACCATGTTTATTGTCCAAATCTGGACAGTGACAGTAAACTTGGCTTCCACTGAGTCAGATGAAGCTAATGCTTGCTTTGTGGACGGATTAAGCTAACCTTAAATCACCTTCCACGATTTACGGTGAGATTTGCAGTTCAGCAAATGAACTGAACCGAACTGAAGGCACCATGTAGCTATATTTGATGGGCTCACATCAGGCGATTTCCACCGAAATGTCTGAACGGCTGGCTCAGCTAGAAAATCCATTTAATTCATGTGAATGCAGTTTGGAGAGCCTACCCTGCAGAAAAATAAATAAAGTTTAAGTTACCGGAATAACATCACCCTCTCATGGCACCGGAGAACTCCGGTAAATGTGAGTGAATATTTAAGTGAGCTAGTTAAAAGCCAGGACCACAAAGTGTTTTACATCTAAAAATGTGGCGTAATGATTTATACACCGTATTCAAAGCAGGTGATTTGGTTACGATGACATGCAAAGGCTGTCTGTAAAAACAGTGTTTATAACATCCAGTATTGCACTTTGGACTCATAAACTAACTGTTGACTAAAAGTGTCTGAGCTATGCCAGTGTGCTTTGCAACAGAGGCATGAAATTGGCAAATTGGAGTCCAATTTATCCCTCATCTCTCTCTCTGTGAGGGACTCTGGAAAGTCCACACTTCGGCTCACGACTCTGCTTTCCCGAGAAGATTTTTTTCAGTTTTGTCAGATACTTTTTTCCCCCCATGTTTCCGCTCCAGCACACAACAGTGAAGAACAGCACACTGGCCACTGTGGACTGGAAAACAAGTGCAGACATTCAGTGCACACATTTCAATGCACCTCAAGCAAGAAAAGGTATGGAAAGGAAAAAAAGAAAAGGCACGTTGAAGGCAGAAAAAAAAGGAATGGAAAGGTAAGGAAAGAAAAACTAGAAAAGGGACACGATGCAATGCAACGCAGTGCAACAGAATGCAATGTAATGCAGAAAAAGAAGGAAAAGGACCAGAAAGGAAAGAAAAATAAAAGAAAGAAACAGCAAGCAAAAGAAAGGCAGAAAAAGAAGACAGACAGATGAATGAGGAGATGTACCTGTTTTGATGGATGACGAACATATTGAACCAGCTTTCTTCATCCTCACGGGGACGGAGCATGGTCACCTGCTTGTTTACAAACATCCGGTACAGCCTTTCATCTGGGATAGAACCTGAAAAAACAAAAAGAACTGTTAAAAACTCCCATCAACAATCTCGCCTAGATAGTAGCTAAACGGCAAAGATTTCAGACAAACGTGGCTCATTTGTATATGAATGGACATTTATAAACACTCCAGCTGGTAGAACTGTAATCTGCACTTCACCAAGATTACTCAACACACCTAAAAATGAAGTCAAGTCAAGGTTTACTTATATAGCGCTTTTACAACAGGCTTTATCACACAGCAGCTTTACAGAGAAATCCAGGTCCGAGGCCCCAATGGCGACAATGTCGAGGAAAAACTCCCTAAGAGGAAGAAACTTTGAGAGGAACCATGACTCCATCTGGTCGACACTGGACAGCAAACAGTAACGCAAGAGCAAAACAGCTACAGCAACCAGCCTTCATACCAGATGCAACAGTGAAGCCAGGTGAAGTGCAAGCAATCCTCTCTCGAGTCCACACTGCATCCGACTGCTTCTGTAAATGCTTAAAGTTTGAATAATATATAAGCAGAATGTGCGTCCCACACACTGGTGCCTCCAACGGCTTGATTTTCTCCTCTTTCTCAAAGATGGAAGCTGTAATCTGGAACATATTGGTCCACGGTTTGTTTGAGACCTCAACATCACTTCAGCAGCTGGCTAAGTCTCCTCTGACGATACCAAAGGAAGCACAGCAGTCACTCTGCGTCCACGTTAAGCTAAGGCTAACAAAATGCTGGCCATTCCTTTATGTCTGTTGCCTTAAAAACAAAGTGGGCAACTTCAGATGACGACTTCACATATAGCAAATCCACAGTTCATAGAAATAAATAAATCAATAAATCTCCATAACATCATTAACCCACTCTGCTCCCACTCTCTCCCACAGCCACACTCACTCAGGACAAATAATAATAAGAGAACAAAACTGCTGTATAATACAGGACAAAGACTCCTTCAAAGGGAGTATTATGGGATATTAATGGTGCTTCGAGCGCTCAGCAACAGACAACTCACATATGGCACCACAGAAGGCTCGAGGCTTCTGCTCGGAGTTTTCTAAAGCTTGTCACAGCTGGACTGCACCGACCACAGCGGAGTCTTCAAACTGACCGCTGAGGTTTTATAGAGTAGAATAAAGGCCAGAGCTCCTGATGCCAGCAGAGGAATGAAAACAAGCCTGTCCAGCACACAGTAACACACAGCTCAGGATAACATTATTACACACACACACACACACACACACTCTTTCTCATCCTCCTCTTCTTTCTTTCTTAGGGGGGCATTTTGGCAAGAATATAATTATGATATATATTATAATTATGGCTGAGACAATTATTCCACATCATCGATAATAACGCTTCAATTTTCCATTTACCTTTTCCATCTGAAAAAGGTCATATGTATGTCAATCTGAATAATAACAAATATTTCAAAAGTGCATATGTTGCCCTGACCAAAATATTCCAAGGCCTGCCTCGCTGGCGATTAAAGTTTTAGCACTCAGCACAGATCCAACAAAAAAAAAAAAGATCAATAAAACAACATGACCACCTTGTTCTCATCACTTATTTTCACTAGGGATGCACTGATACCGATACTAGTACCGGCCCAATACCATGCAGATTTTTTTTTCCACCAGCTTTGGCAGAGCAGACGTCTCTGCCCCCCCTTCCAGGACCAGTTCATGACGAATCTCCCTCCCTTCGTGTCTCTGTGAGGCCTGTGGTATGTTTCTCAATAAGGACATTGTGACATGGGATAAGGACATCTCCAATCTATCCTACCAGGCACAGCGGAGGCCAGTGGCACAGGAACTGGAACCGGGTTTTTCCATCATCATTTAACCAGTGAAAAGTATCTCTTTCCTTTCTTTGTCCCTCTCTTTTCTCTATTGCTCTCCCTTTCTGCCTCTCTCCCTCTCCCACTCATGCTCTTCCCTCTCCATCTTCCCCTCTGTCTCTCTCACACTGTGCCGTGAGGTCAGAACACAGTGGACGCACAAATAATGAGGCAGTAATTGCACCAGCAGCATGGGTGCATGAAGGAGTAATAACATCCCTTCTTCAGCTTCAGTCATTTTCTCTGAGCAGTCATGGGTTCTGTTTATTATTCTTTTCCAACAATAAAAGAGCTCAGTGAACAATGAAATTCACAGTTTACCACAAAATCATTAGATCAACACACTTTCAGTGTCTAACTTATTTAAGGCTAATGTAGCTAATATTACAACCTGCAGTCAACCTGTTAGCATTGTGCTACTACAAGCCTACATCATCACAAACATGCCTCAAGTGTAAATGAACCTGAAATTAAAATCAACCTCTGAGATCAGCTGGAAAAGGCTGGAAGTTGTACTAAAGAAGAAAGTGTCAAAGTCTAACACTTAACAAATCATTTAAATGGCACTGAACACAATAAAATTCTGGTAATGTCCAGCTCCCCCGTGCTGGTCAGCCCAGACGCGTTCAAACAGTTAGAGCAGCAGCAGATCAACAGTGAAACTCAAACATGGTTATGTGCTTGTCAGAGGTAATTGATTTAGTCTGCAAACATGAGCATTTGTTAGATCCTGCTGAGGTTTTTGGCTGTTGCTCCTCTAAATGACAATCTCGGGGCCCCCTGCTAGGTGTGAGTCAAGTCCCAAAGCTTTAGGTTCCAAATAATGCAACATGCATGCTACAAGCAAACTAACACTGTCGCAACTGACATCACATGAAAGTCTTTTACTTTCTGACTTTTACTTTATTATTAAACTTCAGCACTATACATATATATATATATATATATATATATATATAAAGTTTGGGCACCCCTGGTCAAATGACTTGTTTTGTTTATTTTGTGAAAGTGAAAATAAATACAAATCCTCTACAGATAACTGCATATTTTAATGCATAATTACTGTTTACTTGAGGTGAAAAAACAATACATAAAATATGGTCTGTGCAAAAATCATGACACTTAACATATATATATATATTTATTTATTTATTTATATTTATCGTTGCTGCCCAAAGAAAAAAAGAAGTATCTCCAAAATAGTACCTTTAGGAGAGGGCAAAAACACTCACCTTTCAATGTACAACCCCATTTCCAAAAAAGTTGGGACGCTGTGCAGAATGTAAATAAAAATAGTACGCAATGAGATTCTATTCCAAGTGATTTTAGAGCGTTTCTACTGGACCACTCATCTTGAAATTTTCACATAATGTAAAAAGGACAGCTGGTCTGTTGAAACGATGTAGAAAAAATAAAAATTGACAAAAGTGGAGATACATGTTTTCTTTGAACAGCGACAGTATGTTATGTGCTATGACTTTTGCATATATCAAACTCAAAAATGCCATATGTAAGATCTCTGTACAGGATTTGTAGCACTGCTCGTATTTTCACTGCTAAACGACCTTGCAATTCAGAGGATCCAGCGCACGTACAGCAAAACCTATCGCTGGAATGGAACATTTTTGTTAACCACAGGGTGTGACAGCAGCAATCTTCAAAAAATGCCTTTCATTTCCCCGACAAAGACATCGGCTTAGACCTTGAGTTCATAACAAGAGACCCCAGAATGACGGCACGACTTCAGAGGTCTATGGCATGTTTACGTGGTTTCTGACACTGCATGATGGACTTGTGAGATAATGTTCAATACACCATCATCTCTCTGCGCTCTTCAGCCATCGCTGGCCATCAGTATTGAGGGGGTGCATGCAAGTGGCAGGCAAGCGAGAGCCACTCGAGTCTGAGTGTGATTTCAGGCTGCAAGCATGACAACTGTAGGGCTGTGAGATAAACTGTATTTTTTGCAGGGATGCAGCCTTAGAAACCCAACAAGCAGCGATCTCTGCACTGGGACTGAAATATGCTCTCTCTTGCGTCGAAAGTGATTAACGTAACTATTACACCAAACCAACAATTACAAACCTTGTAGATGTACAGCCCAAACAGCACTCTATCCTGAAGTCTTAGCGTGTAAAAACGCTTGAAATATGATGACTACTCTCAAAAAGATTCATCCGATTTCAAAGTGGCATATTTTTACAACCGTGAGGCACCTAGGAACCAATCACATACCAACTGAAAGAGGGGGTAGATACTTTACAGGCAGGTGAAAATGTTTAACAGCAGTAGAGGAAATGATGAGTATTTATTTAAAATCATATAAAACGATGACATCAAAATAAAAAAGATAAATACTAAAGAGACATTTAACTTTAACTGAGCGCACGATTAAACAGTTCTTTGCATGGATTCAGATTGATGGAGAATGTGCTGTAGATGGTTCTATATAGTACCAAAAAGGGTTTGTCTATTCTTAGGAGGTCAAGCTTATAATACTAGAAGAACCAATATATAGAATATATAGAATATATAGAATCCTTTTCAAAAAGGTACTATATAGAACCATACATAACACATCCATCAATCTGCAGAGCCCTTTTACAGTACAAAGAACCCTTTAATCATGCAAAGGGTTCTTTGAGTGTTCATAGTTCTATATAGAACCAATGTCTTTACTAAAGAACTACACAATAGTGTAATTTTGGATTTTTTGCTATATGCTTAAAGGTCTTGCACTGCTACTGGACACTGTGAAGCCTGATATCGTATAAACACTGCTATAGGCCATGGACTACACATTAAAAGAAAAGAAATAGCTTCTGAGACACATATGATATCCCTCTGCGCATATTAAAGCCCCTTAAAAACTGATTTTTGACAATTAAATCGTTTATCTTAATAGCCATCATGATAGATGCCCCTGTCAATCTGCTCAAGCCTGTTTACCACTGCCCATACCTCTGTCCAGATACCATACAGTATCAGAAAACACATAAGCCAGTCTACTAAAGATAACAATTCAACATTCACACTGAAGATTTTGAAATTTAGTTATCATCATGCTATTTGGTGAAGGATAAGCTTCCCTTACTAGGTAGCTACACTAGCCTTCCAGCTCCAGTGCAAAAATAAGGGGGAAAAATTCAGACACCAGGGATGTCTGCTGATCTACCGCATTTGGGATAAAAGAGGTGGGGGGGGGTCAAAATATCACTTTAAAAGCTGCCACTATGGGTGGAAAGAAGGGTCTGTATTTCCTCTGGGATGGATGAAAGTATTCTGTTCATCTCTCTCTCCTTTATAACCTGACGTGATTCAGGACTTTTCTCCCCCAAGCATGTTAAAGGCAAAAAAGAGACAGAGAGAGACAGAGAGAGAGAGAGAGAGAGAGAGAGAGAGAGCATGGATGCTTTCAATATCTAAAAAGAAAAGTGAGAAATGGGCGACAAACAGAAAAATAAGGTTTTTAAAAGTTGCTCTTTGAAAGAGCTTCTGAAAGCCTGTCACTCAAGAGAAAAACAACAAAAGATGTGCAGGTGTGAGGTGTGTGAAAATGAGAGTGTTTGTAAAGTATCGTGTCTCTCTCTCTCTCTCCCTCTCTGAGGCCGACCATGTGATGCAACAGAAAACAGGACTCATCAGACTAGGCAGCCTTCTTGCATTGCTCTAAGGTCCAGTTCTGGCACTCATGTGTCCTTTTGTAGGTCCTTTTGGCAGTGGACAGGGGTTAACATGGGCACTCTGACTGCAGCAGGGTGTGATGCACTGTGTCATACATTCCTGTAACCAACCAATCATTACATTTGTCTGTGACTTGTGACACAGTAGCTCTTCTGTTAGTTCATACCAAACAGGACAGCCTTCGCTGACCTCACACATCGATGAGCCTTGGGCACCGAGGAAATATCTTTAAGAAGTGTGGTGTTCCATCCCAGTAGAGTTCTAGAGTCTTATACAATCTAGGAAAATGGTCACTGAAGACGTTTTGGAGGCTTGTGGTGGCACAGCATCTTACTAAAACACTTTGCGACAACAACAAGAATACAATTCATCATGCAGCCTTAGTTCTGAGATAAGGGCCCAATCCCATTTCTTATTTTCACCTCTACCCCTTATTTTTGAGTGTCACCTTGCCTCTTGGGTTTCATTTCCCCTACAAAATGGGACCCTCAAATAAAAAGAGCATCACTTCATTAACAGCTACCAGCGCTGCTCTGTAGGCGACCCTGCCAGTCTGCAGTGACAGCAGAGGAGGGTAAAGTTCAGCTCCTCACTGCTGGGCTTTAGTTACATTTAGGGCATCATATGCCTTCAAAGAGGGGGGCAATTATTTATTATCACCCACCCCTAATTCTTCAGTGATATGAAGCGGAAATCAGCTATTCGCCAACTTCTTGTTCGAATTTTCCCAGTCCACCTTAAATGCAGCAGTTCTGATGCCTGAGGTGCCAGAACGTAACTGCTGCACCATTTAAGGTGGAACAGGAAATTCGCCGTTTTTTCTTTTTTTCTTCATATCTCTCTGTTTGGAGTGAGCCTCTGAAAAACCTCAGTTTGGAGGGCCATGTAGCCCTAACACTTCGCCCTACCCCTCTATCTCAACAACAATCAGGACACCCTACCCATAAATGTGGACATGCAAAACGGAGGTGCAGGGCTAAGTGATAGGGGGCAAGGGGTAAAATGGGACTGGGCCCAGGTCTTGGCCCAAAATGTACTTTTTAAAATCCATTCATGGCAGAGAGGTGCATGCAGGGCGTTGTAAGGTAAAACAGTCTAGAAAGCTAATTTTAAAAAATGTACTAATCTTTCACCGTCAGCAACGTTACATATAAAATTCAGAAGACACCTGTAATGGTGGTTCTGGATAGTAAATAAAACGGCTATATTTGTGTTACAGACACCGTGACGTCTGGTTCCTATCGCCACCACTGTAAAGAAATCTGAGTCGGTAAGTTTCTCTACAATGAACCATTTCACATCCATCCACTCTGAATGACCCTGTTTACATCTCAACCATTAAACTATGGAGAAATTTGTGGAAATTGGTGGATTTCGCCTTTACCTGAGTGAGAGACTGAGAAAGAAAGAGAGAGAAAGACAGGAGAGAGACCAGTGCAGTATAATGTGTGTCAATGACTCATACTTTGTTATTTTGAGTCCTGATGATTTTCACGAGTTGCTACAGTAAAGATTAAAGGTCAGCGTAGTCTTCCACTTCTGCAAAAAACAATTCCTCTATATGCACCATTTCATTAATATGGAATGAGACACAGCACATCTTCAAACACTATGTACATCAAAGGTGTCCAATTGCCCATCTGGGATGTGACAAAAGAGCAACTCATTACTTGGGAGAGCGATGAGTGCAGCAGGTGATAAATTAGACGGTCATGCCTAAACATATGACTTACTGAGTTAGTGATATGCAGACACTGAATTAGTGGTGAATGGTGTCAGGTTTGGCGTACACGTTTTCGAAGCTGTGCTATGTGTCATTTCCTTTCAATGAAATCATACGCACCAATCAACAACATTAAAACCACCTCCTTGTTTCTACGCTCATTGTCCATTTTATCAGCTCCACTTACTATATAGGTGCACTTTGTAGTTCTACAGTTACAGACTGTAGTCCATCTGTTTCTCTGCATACTTTGTTGCCCTGTTCTTCAATGGTTAGGATCACCACAGAGCAGGTATTATTTGGGTGGTAGATCATTCTCAGCACTGCAGTGACACTGACGTGGTGGGGGCATCTTAGTGTGTGTTGCGCTGGTGCGAGTGGATCAGACCCAGCAGTTAATACTTGTTAAGGATCCTTGCGAACCCTGATTAGCACGATAAATTATTAACGCCTCTAAATTTTGGAATGCTGCTGTGGGTCTGAAAGGACACATAGGTGTCAAGAAGCCGCTGCTGAGAAAGGATATATACAAAACAGAACATTTGCAAATCAAATAAAGAAGCTGCTGGTGTTCTCAGAACAATGGACTGACCACCCCAGGGTCCAGATGTCAACATCACTGGGTGTGGAGCAAATTAAATGGAATTGAATGGAATAAAGGATTTGAACTAGACAGGGCTCATTTAAGGTGATACCTGCTCCAGCACATTCAGGACATCCCTAAATGTAATATCTCTAATGAACAAAAAAACAATTTAATTATTAATGGTAATAATTTTTTTATGTCATTGACTCATTTTCCTTGTCTGACACTTCAAACCATCTTTAGTACTGCAGACTAAAGTTCAGCTGCTCGCACACCGTAAGTTGCTATGATAAAGTCTGTGATTAGTGATAGTGATAGCTGATGACTCACCAATGCCATACATAGCGATCTTGGTGCTTCCTTTCTGCAGAAGAATCGGACTGATCTCCAGCTTTTCCACTGAACGGCTGCGGCCAAAATGATTCACCAAACCAGCACAGCTCAACAGGTCCAGAGCACAGAGACCATCAGCCTGCAGTGAACACACACACACACACAAACACACACACACAAACACACACAAATATTATAACAATAATACCAATACTGATTAAACTACTACTAATAATAAAAACAATAAGTTAAGAAGGTACATGATTAATGCCACTATTTTTTACACTGTTAATGCATTTTCCTGGATTGACCCTTTAACCCCTCCACAGCTCCATCCTAAAGCCCAGCTGCCTGGAGGGCTGTTGCTATGACTCCATGACTGCTGCTCATTCACATACCACTCCTAAACGGCAATTTCCATTATGGCACTCTTGATAAAACCAATGTTATTTCCAGCTGCTGCCATGGAGTGAATCCATCACTTCAGTATATCAAGTCTGAAGCTTCATTTGCAAGCTAAACACACAGCGTTAAAGCAGCAATATCAGTAATTCAGCAGACCACACTGGACAGGGTCTGCTGGACGGTTCAACTCAAAACAAAATGTAACGTGGCCACAATTGGTGAGGAGATGAACCACTGAGTGTAGATATGATAATATATGATGAATACACTCAGTGGTTGGAAAATGCGGCTACTGCTACTCTCACTAGACACTAGTGCGCTGCACCTTATTTTCATCTACACCCTGCAGTGATGTGATTTTCATGTTAACGGGAAACTGATGTTATTGAATAACTGAAAGTACAATATTCTTTATTGATGTTACTTTTATAACTGAAGATACATTATTCTTTTTTATGTTAATGAATAACTGAAAGTACATTATTCTTGATTAATGTTACTGAATAACTGAAAGCAAATTATTATTTATTACTGCAATTGAATAACAAAGTAATAAAGTTTATTTAGTCCACTCATATAGGTAAACAATGTGTTGCTTTTTAGATGAAAAAAATTCTCTTTTCAAATTAGAGCAAATAAGATAAATTTGAACAACCCCTTAATATCTAGACCAGTTGTTCTGTTATTGATCTTAAGACATATTCAGTTTTTTCAGTACATATGAATTACAAGTTTTCAGTCAAAATTACTCAGTAATCACAATTATTTTCATTAAAATATCAACATCTATGGGTCTCCATCTCTCCACTGAAGACAACTCAGCTGTGAAGAAGCTGTGCAGATGTCAAGAAGCCCTGACTGAGGAAAGGAAACAGACAACAAAGAAGAACATTTGCAAATCAAACAAAGAAGCTGCTGGTGTTCTCGGAACAGTGGGCTGACCATCCCAGAGTCCAGACCTCAACATTATGGAATGTGTTTGGGATTATTTAGATTGTGAGCGGGATAAAAGGCAACCAAAGTTTAAGACTAAACTTAAAAACTATCATGACTTTCAAAGCAGATTCGTTTGCATCTCTCATGAACAGAAACAGAAGCTGTGAATTTAATAAATGAGGGTCTCTGACTTTTGCACAGTACTGTATACCACCATTCGCAGGTTTGGAATCACTTGTGCTAAGAATTCATTTTATTGTATATTCAACAATCTACAATTTTGTGGGGCAGTCGTGGGCTGGAGGTTAGGGAACCAGCCCTGTGACCGGAAGGCCGCTGGTTCAATCCCCTAAGCCGACAGTGCGTGACTGAAGTGCCCTTGAGCAAGGCACCTAACCCAGCCTAGTGTGTATGTGGTGTTTTACTGCACGGATGGGTTAAATGCGGAGATGAAATTTCCCCGTTGTGGGACTAATAAGGGTCACTTAATCTTAATTACTTATATAGCGTAGATGTAGATATTATAAACTAGACCAAAAAGTAATTTTCTGCCTTTTACTCAATATTCTGAGCATCTAGCTTATTATAATTATTATTAAATATACATACATACATAAATTTAGAGTACAATCAGTTCAACCCAACTTCTTTTTTTTCTTTCATTTTTTTTTTCTTTCTTTTTTATTCACACTCACCAGTTGGCAGTTTGACAGCAGTAAATACAGTTTACAGTAAAACAAAACTATAATCTTCAGCTACTGTCCGTGTATGTAACAGTGAACGACCCAGCTTTGTGAAACGAGCTACAGCTGCACTGGTCGTCATGGTGACATCCCCACTCTCTCATTAGCACTGTCCTCTATACCAGGAGAGCTATTTGCTAAATAGTGGTAAAACGCATGTAGGTAAATTCAGTAGCTCAACCTGCGTCAGTGTTCACCAGCCGCATGAACAAGCCGACATCAGCCACTTAAGAGAGGCTGAAGTTGGCTTCTTATTCATAGCCATACACTGGAGGACTGCAGGCATGAAACTGAAGCCTGAACCTGACCTGAATCTGCACACACCGCTGTAGAAACACCACAGTCAATGTGTCTCTGGAGAGACATGCCAATCTTCCTGCTCTAAACACCATCACCAGCTCTACTCTGCACGAGACCAGTGTGCTTTACATATGGCGTAATGAAAAAGTGTTTACACAGCGAAGGTGTCCTTGACTCTTTAGGATGCAGCACACCAGTACATTCAGTATACAGGACGAAATCCTTCCTCAGGTTCAGTTTCGATGATCCGGTACATAACCATTAATCCCTAACGCTATTTCACTTTGCTGAATGGCTAAACCATGCAGGTTTCAGTCATGTCTTTGAATTAAAATGAAAACACAGCACTCATCTCCCACTGCCTAGTCTGTTGTATCTGAACCAGTGGGCATAAAGGAATGGGGTTAGAGTTAACCTAACGTGAAGACCAGAGTAATTACTTTCCTCTTCTCCCACCTGAGAAGACGCCACACTCAGTCAGCTCCTTCCAAACCATACAAACCATAGACCATCCAGTACTGAAGCAGGATTGACTATAATATTTTCCAAATTCAAGCAGTGTCTGACGATCAGAGGCAGAAGTGTGTGGGACACACAGCACAAAATAAATGATTTGGAAAGTTTTATGAAGCAGAAGTTGCTTTTTCTTTCTCTTCTAAATTTTCTGTTCCACCTTAAAAGGAACAGCAGTTACTTTCAGGTGGCTAAACAGGTCCTAGAATGTAACTGTTACACCATTTTAAGTGGACCGTAAAAAAACTGAACACAAAGCTGTCAAATAAGAAGCCGACTCCAGATTTGTTTAAATTTAGACATGAAACAACAGCTCTGAAAATTTGGCAAAAAAAGAATAAATAGGTCTACAAAGAAGTGTTAAAATCTAACACTAAATAAATTATTGTGATGGTAATAAGAAACATTGATTAAAACACTTGGCGGCTTGATGTCCTGCTGTTTGAGCAGCTGCGGAACAGTGAAGCACTCAAACACTGAACTTCAGCTGCTTCCTATACAGTTTTAACTGATATGTCTTTTTACATTAACTGCTTTATTGACATTCTTTAACGGAACTCATATTAAAGTAACTCAACATACTTTTGATGCCACACTGACTTATAACAAGGAGAATGGAGTCTCTGTCATTGCCACTAAGGGTCTGACTAAAAGTCATCCAAACTCGTGTTTCATGCTAAGTTAGCATGCAGTGAGATAAATTCATCTCATGCCAAAAAGTTTGGTCAGTCTTTGTCATCTCAGGCCAAATAAGTCCTGACAGTAGAGTTGAATGATTCATACACACACACAAAAACAATGCAATGATTTGCAAATCTCTAAGACCTGTATTTTATTGACAAAAGAACATAGAACATATATCAGATGTTGAAAGTGAGACATTTTACCATTTCATGAAAAACATTAACTCATTTAGAACTTGATGGCAGCAATGCATCTCAAAAAAGTTGGGACAGGGGCAGCAAAAGGCTGGAAAAGTAAGTGGTACTAATAAAAACAGTTGGAGGAGCAATTTGCAACTAACTCACATGACTGGGTATAAAAAGAGCAGAGAGCCAAAGTCTCTCAGAGGCAAAGTGCAAAAAACTACATCTAAAAACTGTGGAACAATTTCAGAAAAATGTTCCTCAACGTAAAATTGCGAAGACTTTGTATATCCCACCAAATACAGTACAAAATATCATCAAAAGATTCAGAGAATCTGGAGAAATCCCTGTACGCAAGGGACAAGACCAATGGTCAATATTGGATGCTCGTGACCTTTGGGCCCTCAGGCAGCACTGCATTAAAAACAGGCATGATTATGTACTGGAAATTACAGCATGGGCTCAGCAACACTGAGAACTGCGAAGGCAGTTCGCCGTGTAATCCACAAATGTAAGTTAAAGCTGTATCACGCAAAGAAGACGCCATATGTCAACATAATCTAGAAATGCCGCCGTCTTCTCTGGGCCAAAGCCCATTTAAAATGGAGGCAAAATGGAAAACTGTTCTCTGGTCAGATGAATCAAAATGTGAAATTCTTTTCATATTCTGGTCTTCTTGGGCCTGGAGAATTAAAGCCTGGATATTAATTTATTTAAAATTCCTGCATGTTAATCGCAATACTGATCAGAAAAAAATCGCAATTAGATATTTTCCCTATATCGTTCAGCCCTACCTGACAGTTTGCAACCTTCCGTAATAAAATCCTGTAATATTACTCTGACTTGTAAGTTGACTTACGTTGATTCTTTCCCTTCTGACGTTCGTATTCACACTACAGATTACAGATTTCAGTTGTTTATATATAGAAACATAGAAATTGGTGGTGTAGAACTTAAATGGTGCCTTAATGACTGATGCCCAGTGGTCTGTGTTTCCAAACTATTAGGTTAAACAAAATGTAACACCAGATGTTTTTTTTCATACATTTGATTGTAATTTTGTTTGCTGTCTTTGCAGGAGTGAAGAAATGCAGGTTTGATCATTCATGAGAAATTGAGGCAAGTCAAATATACAATATTCATAATGTCCAATAAAAAAAAACTTTGCTGCGCTGTTATAAAAATGTCACAAACATGTTGCAATCTTAGCTTTTTCAATCCTTAATACAGGGCAGATTATTCATTTTGTTCCAGCATTTTATTTGCTGCCCATCTTGTTTGCTGAATTGTATTCTGTTCGTTTCAGGCCATTTTCAGTTTTTTGTTCTACAGTAGAAGCATACTAATGGTTAGCTGAAAGCTGTCATTACTTAGCA